AATGAAGATCACTCCAAAGATTTAAGAACAAACTCTGTAAAATGGTTTCCTAGTTAACTCAATGTGGAATTCTTATTCCCTGGTGATCTGAAATTTGAAAGACCTTTCTACATCTTTTTTTTGGTGGCCCACAAGGTTCCATACTTCCAGTATAAACTTTTCAATATTTCAAAGATTTTAATTATTTTCTTTGCTGGAACGAGCTTTATGCTGTCTCAAAATCTTGGAGAGGTACTATCTAAAAAGCAGGTAAGTTCTCAGTCATTTATGATCTCTCTCAAACAATAAAAAAATGTGGCAGCTGATTCCAGTATCTTCTCTTTGACCCTCAGGTTAGAAAGGAGGGTTGCATCTTTTTAGATGAAATATAAGCACATTTATTTTTAATCTGAAGCAAATGTATTTCAGAGATATTTGAGAGAGAGGTTGAAAGAGCAAGAAAGAGGAAGAGGGAATGAGCTGAATACCTCAGAAAGCTTTATTTTACTAAGAAAAATAGAAACTGTCTTGAAAAATAGTAAATTTATGGAGAAGTCTTTTAATAATATGCTGGGTTAGTTCCTGAGGTGATAGATAGTTCTCATATACTTTGTGTGGACTTAGGAACTCTTTTATGCTTGGGGAAAAAATGACTCATACCTGTATCAATATTAGGAAAGTTCTGTACTGCTTCTAGGCTAGGAAAAAGCTGAGAACTTATATGCTGTGTCAGCCCTTTGGTTCCATTTGAACCTTGAAGATCGCACTGCAAATCCTATGCTTTTACTGTGTGAACAGCACTGTTAACTGTGTCAGGATTTCTTCAAACAGTATAAACTATCATGAATAATTCTACTAGCATTTTTTTCCTTTGCCACATGAAAGGGAGACCACAAAGTCTGTTAAAACTGTTCCAGTGAAGAAGAATATGAATGTACTTTTCAAAACTTACTGAGCAAAAAATACAGAAGAAAAAATTACTAAATCTTAATTATTTTAAATCACATAAGGTTCTTTACAACTAATGTGTGACATACACTCCTAAAGAGTATACTATTCATGTGATAAATAAGTGATATAGGCATCAGTGACTGTAAAAATGCTATTTGAAAATTATATTGAATTTAAGAATATTTTTTAATTTAAAAAAAATGGTCCTAATGTACAAGAGAACTAGGGATTTTCATTTTGTATATTGTAGATGGGATGTGTAATAATAGCACTATCTTTCGGTGTACAATGAGCTATGCACTGCGTTTTCTTATTAAAGAACTGCACAGCACACAAGATTTTATGTGAAAGCAACACTTGAGATTTCACACATATAGGTTTAAATATTTCCTCTAAGAACTGATTGAAGCAGTTTTGCAAAGGAAGAATAGAACTTGCTTTGTAGACTGAAATTTGTTTAGGCAGAGAAGTGTATGATTTTGTATGACAAGTTCTTGTGAATGCTCAGTTATTTTCCATTTTTCAGAAGTTAATTGCAGTCAGCTATATATATTTGGCAAGAGCTTGCTCCAAATAATTTTCAGCCTATTGCCTATCATACTTATTATTACTGTCTTACTAAATTATATTTTCCAGACCTTTCTGTTGCCATCTCTTGACCATGCACTCCTTGCAGATTACTTGGTACAAGAGGGTTCCACCTCAGGATCAGGGTTTTGGCATGATGTGGTATTACCAGTACTCCAATAGCAAAACCAAGAGTAAATCACAATGGCAAAAAATAATATTATAGATAAAGAAAGAAAGTTTATTAATAACATAGAGTCACGGGATCATAGAAATCAAACTGAAAGGGACCTGAGGATCTTATCTGTTCCAGCCTCCTGTTCTAAACAGAGTTGTGAGACATACTGGGCCTGATTTTTCAATATATCGCAGTTTTTACAAAAAAATATCTTGTAGCTTTTGAATTTGGGGAATTTTTAGAAACTTCAAATCCCAAAATAGGTTACCATATTAATAGATCAAAATTCCTTGAATATCTGAGGGAAAATTTCCAGTCTTTTTAATAAAATACCTACAATTTAAAAAAAAAAACAGAAATAGATTGAAATTTTGGGGTTTCTGTTCAAGCCAATAATCCTCCACATGGTAGAAAAACTAAAAGTTTTTTTGTGTGGTATGTGCTATTCTTAAATTTAGAGGCATGCAAAATTACTACTATTCCAGACAGAATTGCTGTATGTTCAAAGAGAATTAAAAAAAAAAAAATGCTATATTCAAAAAAAACTGTTTAAGAGCTTCATACCTTCCAGGTATCTCAAATTGAAAAGAAACATGTTACTTTTGGAGAGTGTTTTTGCAAAATGCATTATCTCACATGCATATAGGTGTGCGTGCACACATTCTCCCCTCTCACTCACTCGTGTGCTTTTGGTCCCATGTGTGACTTTTAGAGTTGTGACAGTGATTAAAGTTTATCAAAAGCCTCTGGTGACTTGAAATGTCAGAAAGCAAAAAGAGTGATTGATGTGTTCCTTGGCTTTGCCTTCTGGGGAAAAAAGTCCTCCTCCCGAAACCCTTTCCAAACACAAGGCTTTCTGAGCTGTCAAAAGCTGACTGGGGAAACAAATCAAAACCAGAAAGTGAAAAAAAGTATAATTTTTTTTTTTCTCAAAGAGAATACAGCTTTGTAGTTCATAAACTGCCTGATACATGAGAAACTCCCATGCAATATGTCATTACACTGCATTTAGGCAATTAAAGACAGTTACTTCAGTCTACTCTTTGGCAAATCGTCTGTGAAACAAATTTATAGGTTTAAGGATAAGCACTTTAGCAAATATTGAATCTTGCAATTTTGACTGACTGTTCTGTAGAACAATTAACTGCAGGGGAAAAAATACATTTCCCCAAACCTACACGTTTCAGATCAGAATTCAAAACAGTCTCACTCCTAAGCTACAGTCAAATCTCCAAGCACCCTGGTGGCTGAAGATTTGAACATGATTCCAAATATTGCATCTAGGTTGTTTCTGATCTCTTTGTTTTTGCATAGTGAGCTAGCTTTCTATTCCTACAGTTAAGAAGCTGATACTGCATAAACACTTGTTGTCCAGCACTTAAAAGCTAGCTTCTGGTCTCTTAGAATGCCTCCTGTGCTGTATCTGTATTTGCTTTGACTCCTTATTTGTTCCACTTCACTTTCCGACCCATTATACTCCATGCCTATAGAAAGGGTTCATCTTTAGCCTGATTTCAACAGCAGAGATCCTTAGGAAATGAGATAAAAGAACTTGTAAAACTAATTTTAAAGCCCTCAGACTTTTTAAGGGGATTTTAATAAAAAAAAGTACTTTTATTTTAAGTGTGTTTATGCCTTGCCCAAAGTAGTAATTAATACCCTAGAAGAACATGGATGTTTTTCTTTAATGGGCAGGAACATGAACTGTGAGAGATGAGAAAACATAAGTCTTAGGGATAGATACTTGAAACTGTGTACTTACGAGAATATTAAAAACAAACAGTCAGAAGCTTCATTGCGGGAAACACTTGGAATTATGAGGCAGGTTGCAGTGAACACAGTAAACATGCATGAACAAACACACTTTAAGTCATTGTGGAAGAGATGAGACTCATTTCAGTGCAGAGACCTGGATGTTAGGAAACAAAATCCTGTCATAATCCAAAAAATATCTCTTAGGTTAAATATCAGGTGGGTGAGGAAGAGATAGAGAACATCTTTGAAAGGCAGAGGTTACATTGCTAGGAATGTAGAGACATACAGGAATTGCTATTGCAAATCAACTGGATTCCTAAATTAGTGTCATTTCTATAAATCAGACTAATTAATGCCAAGTACTTCAGCAGAGGTATATCTATTAAGGACAGCTGTGTCTGAAGCATGAAGGCTGATCTTTCCATGGTTTTATTCTTACAAGGAAGGAGATTCTTTCTTATCATTAACTTAATGTCTAGCGTTCTCCATACCTCAGCTGATTTACAGAGGGTGAAGGAATGCAAAATAGACTTTTCTGTAGATGCAGTTTCTGAGTACTAAAGAATGACCCCTATGTTTGTGTTCTGTCCTTCCTCCTTACCTGGCACACAGAAACTGACTTAAAGAAGGCCATTTGTTCTTCCTAATATAGGATGTTTAACATAGGACAGTAGCTGGAGTTTTAGAAGTTTTCTCAACACTTTATTTGAGACGGGGTACATTGGAAACCTTGGATCAGTTGTTTAGCTTGTCTGGGCTTAAGCATATAATAAGCATAAAACTGAAGATAGTGTCATTGACACAGAAAACTTGGAAGAATATTATGAGGCTCAGTTATGTTGCAGTGTGTTTCTTGTTAATGGTATGTTCTGTAATTGCCCAAGTTGATGGTTGGGTCCAAATGAGACCCTCCCACCCTATGTTGTCAATCTACCCTGAGTCTCCTCTCAACCCTGTCTTAGGCCTACCACATGTTTGGAATTCCACCTTTTAGTCCATGTGACCCAACTTTCCCCCCCTACCTCCCTCATTGGATGATGATTTTGTGAATCCTGCCTTTTACCCTCCCCAGGATATCTCTGATTAGCTGATGCTTTGTACCCTCCCTTTGAATTGCCTCCCTATTTCAGCTGTTGCCCGCTTGCATTTTCTGTCTTTTTCCCCCAAGATTCCCCAGAACAATAAATCCTCTGTCATCCCATGCAAAAGACCTCCCTCTCATCCTTGTCTCCTCAGGCAGACTGACAGCCAAAGAGCCTTAGAGCAAGTGCTCTAGTCACACCTCGGGTCATCCTGCGCCTGGGGTGTGACCCACTCCTGTCGCAGGCCAAACTGATAGAGACAGATAAGCTCCAGCGAGATGTGATACAGTTAACTTAATATTAAAGAATTTGCACAGTCATTTGTCCTAATGGACCTAATTGGCAATAAATGAATGCATATTTATACATTATACTGAGTACTCCACTCTGCCCTTGTGACACCCCACCTGGAATGTTCGGTCCTGCTCTGGAGGCCCCAGCATAAGGAGGATGTGGACATGACTGAGCCACAAAGAGGAAGCCACAAAGATGATTAGAGGCTGGTGCACTTCGTCTATTAAGATAGGCTGTGAGGGTTGGGGATGTTCAGCATGGAGAGGATAATGAAAGGGAACTTTTAAAAAAGGCAGAACGACTTTTTACATAGGATAAGGGGGAACACTTTTAAACTGATTCAGGAGATGTATAGATCAGATTGAATTAAAAGTTTCTTTACCCATAGGTTAGTGAGGAGCTGGAATAGGAAACTGTGAATTCCCCATCCCTGGAAGTCCTCAAGGCCAGATTGGATGAGGCTTTGAGCAACCTGGTCTAAAGAGTGGTATCTGTGTTCATGGCAGGAGATTTGAAATCAGGTGATCTTTCAAATTCCTTTCAACTCAAGTTGTTCTATGATTCCATGATTTTTTATGCTAAATGAAATTGCCACAGCAACAGAAAATATTAGCGGAAAATTTTGGTTGAAAAGGCGGAAGAGTTGCATGACTGAATGTTCCTCTAAGATCTGTTTTTGCACATAGAAAGGCATATCAGCTTTTTGCCCACTCATACTCCTTTTCAGACCCATACTGGTAAGGCATTTTCATTGTTCAGCCACTCAGATGCCATGGTCCTGATGACCCATTAAGCTTCAGCCAAGCTAACAACTACAAACAGTCTTCTTTATGAGGAATTAGGGTGAGTATTTTACCTGCCCTGTGAATCAGACAAAAAAAAAATGTTAGTACTGATTAAAAAAAGGAAATACAAATTTATATACAGAAATTACTCTTAAATTTATTCACTCTTGAATTTATATAGAGATAGTTATTTCATATATATGGAACATATATGACTAAATATAATATATATTAAAAACTATATAAAAGCTGTATGTTATTCATATGTATTGCTGTTTCAGAAGATACAGTGTGAGGGTATTGGAGAATGAAAGAAAGGGTAAAATCAATGAGATTAAGAACTTCTGAATTTCTGGAAAAGCAGGGTATAGGTAGGTACATGAAAAATTGAACAAGTGGAAGATACCACAATTAACACCATTACATTATTTTGTTCTGCTGAACAAATTGAAGATTTATGAAGTGACACATACTCCTATCTGTCCATGCTGGGACAGCCCTGCCAGGGGCCTGGACAAGATGGAGTTTCTTTGTGAGTCCTTGATTTGGTTGACTACTTGTCTACTACTTCAAGTTTGCGGATGTGGACATTTCATGGGTTGGTGGCTCCTGTAAAGGGCATGGGAGAAGCCCAGCAGGGTATAACATTTGGGCTTTCCCAGTGTGTCTGTAAGTGTGCAGAGCTGGTTTTGCCAGACAGCTTAACAGACAGGACCCTGGACTCCTCAGTCAAGGGAGTTACAGGCCATAACTTTCTCTTGGTCTGCTTCACTTCTGGTCTGCTGAGTGTAAAACCAAAAGGGAGATGCTGGAAGACAAGAATATTAGCTAATGGTGTTTCCATATTGTTTGAACTGGTGAAACAGAGACTGAGAAAAGGGAGAAACCTTAAAAAAACAGCATTATGATCTTACTGTAAGTGTTCTTAGATTATATGATGCTAACTTACAAAGAACATAGTTTAATATGTGTCCCATAAACAGCTAAAACAGAGCTAAACAGTGAAAAAACCTAGTTGATATAATTGTTCATTTGTGTTGTGTGTCTGATTAGTGCTTGGGACCTAAGTTTTTCCAGGTATTTAGGTATAAATGTGGAAGATAGGAAAATAAAAAGGCTAAATAGTCAGAATACAGAGCTTTAAACTTTAGATACAAATCTACTGAGCAGTGCACAGCAAATGAAATCAGATCAGCTGCATCGACATTACAGAGACATTTCATGTTGGGTAATGCTCTTTTGAAAGTATTAAACAAGAGAGAAAGCTTTGAAGCAATCCTTTGAATCCAATTTGAAGCATATTGCTGTTGTGTCAGCTGAATGAGAAGTGAAAAGCTGTCTTCTGTAGGACTCAAATGCACAAGTGCTACAAATCTAAAATACCTTTACAGCAAAAATTTGATGTTACTTGTTTTTGATGTTACTTGTAAATGATTAATGTGCACATTTGGAAGACTGATTTAATTTAACTTCATGTTTCTTTGGGTTAAGTGAAGACACAGAAAAGAAGGATATTTAGAAGACATATTGGATTAGATTGTTCCTGAATCAGGCATTTTTCTAACTTGTGATCAGTATTGTTAATACTGCAATGTTGAATATTTTTTAATAACTATCTATTTAAAAACTACAGATAATATATTTTGTTTGCTAAAGCCATAAAAGTAAAGCTGTTTTCCTAATACTGTATCTGTTATAGAAGGAATAGGATTAAGTATTTCAGAATTTTATCTATACCTTGGTTTTTATGAAATGCAGTTTATCTTTCCCTGTAAACATACTAAAATATAAAGCAACTTGGAACCACAGCTGATTTGTTTACACATATATTGAAAAATAACTCAAACTTATTGCTTTCTGGAAGTAGTTGCTTTCATGTTCAGGGTGGCTTAGTTTTATCAACATGCTAAAACTTTTGTTTTCCATGACAATGTTTCATAAACCACAAGGACATGGGTAATTACACAGCACAAAGGAGAGTATGATCAACTGGAGAGGCATATAATAATAATCAATAAATAATCAATATAATCATAAATAATTTATAAATAAATAAATAATAAATAAAACAATCATAATAATCAATAAATTTATTGATTATTGAATAAAGTTCAACATAAAGGGTCTAGCATGAAGGGTCAACATTGTGGCTATACAGGAAAATACACATTTGTAGATGTGATTTAAACTTAAATTTCAGACAAGATTAATGGAAATTTACCTTGGTTACTGTGCACCATAGGCTTTGGATATCATAGTTTTTCAGTTAGATTGTATGTTGACCTAGTTTATATGAATACAAATATACAAAAAAAACAAAGTTAGGAAAAATGACTCTTTAACAACAGAAGGCAGAAAACCTACCATTTGCTAGCAGTTAATTATACTTTTTAACTAAGGGATTGTGCTCTAATTACAATTCATTTTTATCAGTCTTTGTTTTAGCTTTTAGATTTCTATTATGGCTTTCAGTTCTAGGTCAATTAAGCTTACCTTAAATTAGCTCTTGCTGACTCTTAGTATGATCAGTGAACTGAAGTTGCAAATTCATTGTCTTGGTTGTGGGCAGTTACAATAGAACTTTATCCATTTCACAGGGGTAAGGATGAGAGACATACTACAGCACTCTTCCTTCAAATAAGAGCCCTAAAAAAGTAATATATATATTCAATTATTTTTTTATACCAGGATGGCTTGCCATCTCTTCAACAGAACTAGGTAAAGATATTGGTAAAGATATTGCTGGTAAGAAAGAGAAGAGGCAAGATATGCACCAAATAACACAGCTCAGAAGATAACCACATGTTTTTTGGATATTTTAAAATTTTATTTAGAAAAATTTTAGTCCTCCAAAAGGTGTAATTTCCTAATAATAAGAATGAAATACAAATGTTTTGCCTATTCTAATTCAATGGTTCAGAGGAGTGAAAGAGCTATATGATAAAATTGACTTTCATAAGAGACATCAGCAAGAATAGGAGGCAAATTTCTGTCTTTGCTAAGCAAAATTGTCTTGGGCCAATCCCTTCAATTTCTTTATATTAGAAGATTATAAAGTTGGCTTAGAACATTTAGGAGGTTCAAAAAACCACTTTGAGTTGTCTTATTTTTCTTTTCCCAAAAAGAACCTATTTTCCTATATGTCCACATCTGTCTGCCATTTGTGCAATTGTAAATAATTTTTCCAATAACACTTCAGTTTATCTGGCCACTTGACTCTGAATGTATGCTGCTCTTATCTGTGCTGAAGGCAATTTAGCTGTGGGATGGGTTTGATGGTATTCTATGATTTAGATTTATTCTTAACAGGTCCATGCTGAGAACATTGCTTAATATTAGCATTTGCCTTTTACTGTGCTTCTAAAAATGGAGCTTTTCTGTTGCTGCTGAAGATGAATAGATCACACGGACACAGGTTGAGGTGTGGTGAAAGGAAGAGAAAGTTTATTTTTCCTCCCAGGATTTATAGGCTTCTGAGCATGGCCAGGGATTGGATGGTCAGGATAACACTTTCCTACTGCACTGGCCATGAGAGATGTCCATCACAAGACGTGTAACAGAAAGAATGTACACATATCTATGTTTACAGTTACTGTCCTGGGAAAGTCCTTAGAAAACTATGTTAGCAAGCTCAGAAGTTGAGTTTTCAGGGCAACATCTCACCCTTTTTGGTTTAAACAAAAAGAAAAGAAAAAAGAAAAATGAACAAAGAAACTAGCAACATTATAAACAATCAGAAGGATAAATAATAGGAAAATACAATACTCCCTACAATCAGAAGGCTGTAATTTCAGGGTGATATCTCACCCATTCATTTTTCACCAAACCAAAACCAACAAAAACCCCAAAAAATAAATGAAACAAATGCCCAACATCAACACCTGCTTGTGGATGGCTCTCAATTTGGTCATGGAGGCAGAATCCATGGCAAATTGAAAAGTGCCTGGGAAAACTTCTGGAATGGTATGACAGTAGCCTGTAATTCTATCAATTGGGCTGACCCAGCTTCATGACTCTCAAAAAAACCCCCTAAAAACAAAACAGCGACATCAATGGAAAGATTAATAAAATCATTAACTTGATGAGCAGAAACTGCTCGCAGAACCTCCTCCAGCATCTACTGTGTCTCTGGGGTCAGTGTCAGAGGTGACTTTTAAATCAGAGTCCCCCTTTAATAGACCAAACAAGGGAGACAGTTGTGTCATGTTCAGTCCCATATAGGGACACAACCATGTAAAAGTCCATTATTATCTGGACATCATTCATGCAGTGTCTGCACTGAATGCAAAAAAAAAAAATAATTGTATTCGTCCCAAAATTTGTCCCAATTGTTCGTCCCAAAATTATTTTTGACCCTCAAATAATTTCAGGGAGGTTGTAGAGACGAGCAGCAGGAAACTGCTCACAAACTCCAGTGAGGGCTAGAGCCCCATATCATCGGCAAATGCCAGCAAATTTTCACAAGCCTTATGGCAAAATCTCCATTGATATCTCTGTGTGGGCTCAGCACTACTGATAGCTGGCACCAGAAAGGCAGATTTCGGTCTGTCATCGGGATGCAAAGGAATCGTAAAAAGCAATCCTTCAGATCCACAGTGAGGGTGAAGGCATGCTAGCCTGCAACATCCCCATGCTTTCCATCATAGCAGTAACTTTCTGGAGGTCTTGCAATAACCTCCATTTCCCAGACTTCTTCTTGATACAGAAAACAGGAATGTCCCAGAGAGTGGTCGAAGCTCCAGATCACCGTGATCCAACTGTTCCTGCATCAAGACATGGAGGGTGACTAGTCTATCATGAGAAAGGACAAAAGAATCTGCTGAACAAAGAGTCTGTCTCAAGTTCTTCTTTGCGCTGAATGTGTCAACATTGGGTCCAAGGGTCACTCCGGGGCCCACCAGCAAACCTGACAATCGTGATGTCCATGCCAGTGTCAAAAAACCCACGGAAGCTAATCTCTGACAGCATCTCACCAAGGATGGACAGGGTGAAGACCCGTTCAGGATGATCCCTGGCTGTCAGAACAGCAGTCCAGTGACCCAGGGAGGTCCAGGGAACCTGAAGCCACCATCTCCCCGCAGCTGGTTCTCAGCTCTGCGAACACAAGACTCAAAAGGCACAAGGTGAGCAAATCTGGGTCCCACAGGGATAGAAACAGGAGGGGTGCGTGTGGAACTCATGGCAGAAATGCACCCCAGGAATTCTGAATCAACGTCCCCTAGGTGAACAATGATGCCCTGAGCAGTGGTATTCAACCACGACACAAGAAGAGCACTCATTCCCTCATCCACCGGACCAAAGCATTTGGAAGCACATGGAATGCCTGATACGCTCAGCTGCACAGTCATCTGACAAGAGAACAAAGTCCACAGGCCAGCTGAAGAGGCTCCAGCAGCCTGGGATCCTTTGTCTATGGAGGCCACCGGCTTCTGTCCCGCGGCAGCACCACCAGAGCCAATGGTAACCAGC